TCGTTGCCGGCCACGTCGCGGCGTTGTTCGGCGTCGTCGCTTCCGCGTGCCGGGAGCTTTCTCCCCCCCCCCCCCCCCCACAGCAAGACAATTTGCGACGCGCCGTGCCGCGTTGCCGCGACGTCCGACGTTTCGCTCCGTGTCCTGGCAGCTTAAATGAGGAACGGGGGGGGGGGGGGCGGGTTGATGCTACTGCCGGCGTGGGTTTTCGCGGCCGCGCAGCCCGGCTCTCCGCGTATTGTTGGGAGGTTGTGCCGCCGCGTTATTCGTTTTCCCTCCGCGCATTGTGTTGGGAAGCTGTGCAGCAAAGCAACGCCACTTACTTTATTTTTCACTTTTTTATTTATCCGTGCGTGGTGGCGAAACGTCAGACTCCATGCCAATTGACACGCGACAGCGGCAGAAAACGCGCTCTGAACGCCCCGCGGGAACACCGCGATGACGTGCGGAGCGTGGGTACGTACGGAGATCGGAGCGTATGGAGCGGGGAACCGTACGGAGTATGAAACGCGGTCGCTTATTTTTTAATTGTATGAATGCTAGAAACCCGCACATCCTATTGGACGTGACCGTCCATCCCTCCCAGCCGCCAGCCAGCAAACTTTTGATCCTATACGGAGCCTTGTCTCTCTCCACCTTTCTCTTGCCTTCTCATCGAGATGTCTCGCTTGTCTGTTCCTGTCTCTCTGTTCCTAATCGCGATGGTGTGGGCACGGGGTGACGTCACCATCGCTCAGACGTCCCGCGCGATGACGTCATCACTGCGCAGACGTCCGCGCAATGATGACGTCACCATCGTGCGGACGTTGGTCGCGATGGTGACGTCATCCACTCCTCCCCGGCATTCAGCGTCACCCATGACAACAACAACATGCCTTCCAATCACTCCAGACAGGTGCCACATCATTACCAACTCGGCTTGAGTCACCCAACAGATGACTCTGTCCCGAGGGCCACTTTAGCCAGCACCTGTGACAGGAGGTCATAGAAGGCTCTGATTCATCGGCCTTGCCTGCATCTCTCCACGGATGTTCGTCTTCGGTGGGGGCATAAGTACCACGACCACCACTCCTCGCCTCCGGTTGATGGGAAGGCGAGCCCCAAGTAGCTGGGACTTCCACTTCCCACCTCCCCCACGCTCCCACGCCCCCTTCATTCCCTGTGTTTGGCCGTCTCCTGCCCCGAGTAGAGACTGTCCACCCTCATGGTTGCAGGAGCCAGAGCCGTCCACCGGACATCCTGAATACCCACAGATCCAGGCGGTACCGTCCAGCGCCCGACAGAGGAGTGGCAGCCTCTCACCTCACCCCCTCCATCCCGGCCGATACGCTATCATACTCGCAGTATTATAAAGAAAATTTTGCTGTCTGGAGGGAGGAGGGAGGGACCGACAAGGCCAAATTGACGTACGCAACTGAAAACAAACTATTGCACACGTGTACAAAATGTATAAACGACAAAAAATGTGTCTATTATCTGCTTCTCTGTAAGTCGTATGTTTGCTTTACCGATCGCTACTCCGATATTCCAAGCAATATGTATTTTTTAATCGCCGCGTATTATTATTAATTTGAGCTCGTAGCTTGTTGCACTATGAACTCTTAAGAGCTACAGGGCGGTGGGACGCGAGGGCGAAGGAAGCAAAGCCAGTCCGTGTCTCCCAACTGAAATTCTCAGAGGACGTCCAACCGAAGAGCTGGAGCGATGAGTCGGTCGCTAATTCTTTTATTCAACGGGAGATCGAGCAAACCGAGTAGACCGTGTCAAAGTGGTGACGGTGACCTGCCGCGTGTCGTTGTACGCATGCAAGTTGAACTTCTTTCGCACCATACGTAGCCAACCGTGATAATCAGAGGTGCGGTGTTGAGTCTATGGGCAGCGCGAGTCTATGGGCCGTCAGTATGTCTGTGAACTTATTCTGCACCGTACATACTCATCCAGCAGTGGATTGACGACGACGATGACGACCGATGAGGGCGGGGTGACGAATAAGTTCAGATTCATCTTCTGGTTCTTTCGGTAAAGTCACGTAGAAGGGAAATAATAAAATAATAAAAATGAAACATTAAATAATTCTCACGACGTTTCGGCCCACAACGCAAGGCAGCCGTCCTCAGGTGAAGAATAGGTCTGTCGGGGAGACAGCGTCAGACGCTGTCGGAAAGAACAGGTCTGTCTGAAAGACAGCGTCTGACAGGACCTGGTCTTCACCTGCTGCTTGCGTTGTGGCCGAAACCGTCGTGAGAATTATCTTTATTATGTTTTATTTTTAAATCCTTTATATTAAGTTCGCATGCTTGCTGCTTGCTTGCGTGCTTGCTTGCTTGCTTACGACCGTGCAAATCTTTCGGTCGTTTTTTTAACCCACTTCCCGTGATCCAATCGAGCTGACATTTTCCACACAGACTCGTTGTGCCAGACAATTAATGTTCGTGAAAAAACATTCCCAAAATTTTACACTTTTTAGGCAAAAAAATGTATTTTACATATTCAAATATAACTCATTTATCGCTTTGGCCTGAACGTCACAGTATAAGAGCCCAGAGCGTAACCCCTCCACAGGCCGTGGCGGAGTAGCGCAGTTGGTAGCGCCCTCGCTTCCCATGCCAAAGGTCGCGGGATCGATCCCCGCGTCCTCCACAGGCGAATATATTTTAAATCCTTTATATTAAGTTCGCTGCCACGCATATAAAGGATTTATAGTGAAAAACTTGTTTTTAAGGGTTTACTTGTTATTATTTTATATTTCCATTCTACGTGACTTACCGGAAAGAACCAAGAAGAAGAGGGGTTCTGCTGGACAACGTCGCACATGCGCTGGGCACGCGTGAACATCCACAGAAGATTACCGTCGCACAT